GCGAAACCCATGTGAAATTACTCACTACAGATTAGTAAGTGAACACAAGTAAGCTCGTGCGTACCTTGCTTACTGGTTAATCCACCCCAGCTCATAGGCACGTGAAAGCTGGACAATGAATAAGGAAGACCAAAGAAGAATTGACACCTTTGAATTACAGTGATGGCAAAGAATATTGAATATACCATGGACTGCCAAAAGAAAGAAAAAATCTGTCTTGGAGGAAGTACTGCTAGCATGCTCCTTGGAAGAGAGGATGGCGAGACTTCATCTCACGTACTTTGGACATGCTATAAGGAGGGGTCAGTCCCTGGTGAAGGACATCGTGCTTGGTAAAGTAGAGGGTCAGTGAAGAAGAGGAAGACCGTCAACAAGAGGACTGACACAGTGGCTGCAACAATGGGCTCAGACATAGCAAAAATTGTGAGGATGGTGCAGGACAAGGCAGTGTTTCGTTCTGTTGTACACAGGGTGGCTCTGAGTGGGAACTGACTTGACGGCACCTCACAACAGCAACAATAACTGCCCCATGAAGTAGGTCCTGTTATCGTTCTGTTGTTATTGTTGAGGAACCTGAGACAGAGGGAGAGAAGTTCACCTACTCACGGTTACTCAGGGAGAGAGGGGGGCTCAAACTTCATTTCGTTTGACTCCCCAGTCTGCCTCTTAACTCTGAGACACACTGCTGCCTTATCTAGCGAGGTAGGAAGTGCACTAAACCGAACACAGCCTGGGCCATTGTCACTGTCACACTGTCACATGGCCAGAACATTCCAAAGTCAGGAGGCCAATGACCACGAGGGTCTCTGTGAATGCCCAGCACGGAGGTTTCTCCCAACATTTTATATCAAGCCTCATTTTCACGGCCAAAGGTATTACTATGGAAGCATGACTTTTGATTCTGGAAAGTTCTGCTTAGTGATGAGATGTGCAAATATTAAAACTACATCAGCTGCTGGGGGATGGGGTGATTCTGAGGCTCAGTTATGATTTAATAAAACTTCAAGGTGAGTAATTTCATTTCAATCATCCTATCTTTATGAAGGGCGAACGGTTATAAAATTTTATAATAAGACTTTGAAAAAATTAAGACTCCTTTGTAAAACTTAAGTAAATGTAAAGCTTAAAAAAAAAGGAACTCCTCTTTTTTTTAACTTCCATTTTAAAAGTGAGACTATACTCCAAGGCAGGAACTGATAACCAGATAGATAAACGCACATTCCCTTCAGAATCATGCAAAACTTTAAGCTATCTATCTATAGCTGTATCTATCTCCATATATCTATAGATATCTATGTCTGTATCTGTCTATCTATCTATATTCCTGGCAAACAGAATTTCTGACAACGTATTAATAATAAGCCTTAAAAGCAAAACTGAGTCATGGAATGAAAACCCCAGGAGCAATGGTGAGTGGAGTATGAAGGGACACCCTGGAAAGGGACAGGAAGAGAGAACACAGGCCAGGGAGCCTGGAAATCTGGGTGGGAAGCCCATTTCTGCTGCTGAGTGGCCAGGTAAAATTACCTCCCCCTCAACCTTGGTTTTCTCATCTCTCAAGAGGGCCGACCCTTGACAGCATCTCTCTCAGGGCTGATGTGAGAGATGGTGTGTGTGTAGAGAGGAGCAGGTGCCTGCCATTGGTGAGTGTTCGATAAACAACACCAAAAGCATTGCCGGGATGGTGGTCATAGTTCTTATCAAATCTTCCCCACCTTGGTAATGCTGCAAGTTTGAAAGTTCCCAGCTCTGGCTGTTGTATTTCTGGGGACCCCTGAAACAGGTTTAATGCGGCCATTTCAGATCCTTCTCCCATTGAGGGATGCCTAATGCCAAGCGGGCTGGCACGGCCCCTGCATTGTGTAGGAATGAGGCAGTTCATGAATAATGCATCTGCAGCCTGATTATGTAAATCCTTGGGTTTCTTACATCTTCAGCCAGCACATGACAATGGGCTTTTTGGAGCCGTTTGCTGTCCCGTTCTCTGGTTTGGTGTCTCTGCTTTGGGGGGTAGCTCACCACGCCGGGGTTGGGGGGGTGAGGGGGTGTGGGGCGTCACCTAGGGAAGGAGTGGGCTCTGCAAAGGTCACATCAAAGGGGAAGTCAGACCTCTGTTACCGCCCCAGCTCTCCCTGGCAGCGCACAGTGTGAAAGCAAACTGTCCTCTGCCAGAGGCAGCCCCATGACACACGCAGATGGAGGCTTGTGATGTTTAATTCAGAGCGATGAGTGCCCGAAGGGCCTGAGAAGCAGGATGCTTCTTTCATTTCTGGGGCTGGAAGCCGGGGAGCCTGTCATCTGAATGGAGGGCAGGGTACTGCAAGAAACTCACCAGACCACCTCTGGCTGGGGAGGGCACCCTTCTCTGGGGGCTTGGTCTCCTTAGCGCTCATGCAGGCAGCGCACACACACACACACACACACACGTGTACACGCACACTCAAACATGCACATGCGCACTCACCCACACAAACATGCACACATATACTCATACACACATGCATACATGTGTACACACTCCCATGCACACACACACACTGCATACTCATACACATGCACACACATGGCCACACACACTTACATGCACACGTGTGCATACATGCACAAACACACACATCCCCACATCAGAAAAACTAACAATTACAAGGAGGACAATTGAGGTTAACCCAGCACGGCGCACAGGTACTAGCATTAGGGAGATCTGGGGTCAGGGCCCGGCTCTACCATTTACCAGCTACTATGTAGAGGTTTGAGTCCACCCAGGTGCACCTCAGAAGAAAGGCCTGGCAATCTACTTTTGAATAATCAGCCACTGGAAACCCTATGGAGCACAGTTCTACTATGACACATACGGGGTCGCCATGAGTTGGAATCAACTCAATGGCAACTGGTACTACTGGTACTTGTGTGAACTTGGGCAAATCACTTAGTTCTCTGAGGCTGTTTCCTCATCTGTAAAATGGGGATGATTGTACCAACCAAGCAGGTCTATTACAGGCGTTAATTAACCTGATCATGGCAGCAAAGCATGGATGGAGCCCAGTGCCTGCCTGTAGATGGTTATGAGAGATGGTGGTTATTTTCCCTGTTTACCTGATTCCAGCCGTGAGATCTGCTCTACCTTAAGCAGCAGTTAAGGAAAAAGAATGATTTTGATTCTACTTAGAAGTCACTACCCCAGTGCCTGGCACCAAGTAGGCCCAAACACATGCTTGTCAACTGCAGGAGTGGATGGATATAGGTGTCAACTGCAAAGCAGACAAGAAAGCCCCCCTGCTGACCACGCTGCAGGCACAAGGCTGCCAGAAGCTTCTGAAGATGCTTGGGTGCTGGTCTTGCATGCCTCACTGTGGGGGAACCTTTTCAGGAGGGGACTGTGCTGGGTCTGAGGCAGAATTCACTCAAGACCCCGCAAGTGCAGGCCACTGGCAAGGGAGAAGAGCGGCGTCCACCTGCTGAGCAACTTTCAAGGGCCAGGCCCCGGGCAGGTGCTTTAGAGACAGCACAGGCATTTCTCATCATCTGAAACCATACGGCTCCTCAGTTCAGACAGTGAGAGTTTGCACAATGGGGGATACCTGCACTGAATCTAATCCTGAGAACAACCCTGCAAGGCAGGTGTTGTCAGCTCCCGTTTACTGATGAGGAAAGCAAGGCTTCGAGAGGGGAAGAGACTTGGGCAAAGTCACACAGTGATTTGAACCCAGGACTGACTGACTCCTGTGCCGTGTAACAGATGAGATACCAGGGTAGGGGTTGGAGGTGGCTTTTTTGGCTGGGTCACCAGCTTGAGTCTGGAATCTTGGTTTCTCAAGCCAAAGTTATTACCAACTCCATGCCAGGAAGCACATCTCTTTGCCTGTGTTTCTCATCCTCATGTCTGTCCTCTGTGCTTCTTTCAGCCTGGAATGCTCATCTGACCATCCCTTTGGAGGGCAAACTCCTATTCTCCTTTGAAACTCAATGCAGGTATCGTTGCTTTGGGAAGTCCTCCCCAAATGCTCTAGGCTGGGATGAGTGCTCTTCTGTGGCTCATACAGCTCCAAGCATCCTTCTGACAGAACACTTACCCTGTTAAATTAGCCTGAAGTCAGCTCTTTACCTGTCTATTCTCTGCTAAAGGATATGTTCTCCAAGGGCATCCACCCATCCACCTGTCCGTCTGTCTGTCTGTCCATCCATCCATCCATCCATCCAACCATCCATCCATCCATCCATCCATCCATCCATCCA